AATCACTCAGTCACAGGAAAAATCACCAAGGAATCCAAACCAGATATGTTGAAAATAGAAAACATCAAAACATGAAGAGCAGCAAGCATGAAGAGCGGCAAGCTCTGAAAGCCAGGTCATATATCTCCATAAGGGATCATTTATTTTGAAATAATTACATAATTTACCATATAAGCATCATGATAATTTTATGAGTGGAGAAAAAAAATGTGTTATGGACAGCACAGTTTTTTTATGTGTATGGCTCCCCCCCCCCCCTGAGTGGACTGCACACTGAAAGCATCAGCGGTGACGGGATGTGATCATTCGATCACATGGCTTCTCCTACCACTGCTATGCAGACGACACCCAGCTCTATCTGTCATTTCCACCGGATGACCACATTGTCTCTGCACGAATATCAAACTGTCTCTCTGACATATCAAAATGGATGAAATCCCACCATCTCCAACTCAACCTCTCTAAAACTGAACTACTTGTCATCCCAGCAAAACCATCCATAGAGCACAATATCTCAATCCAAAATGACTTCCTATCTCTGGCTCTTTCAAGGGCAGTTCGAAATCTGGGTGTTGCGATTGATGAACACCTGACCTTTAAAGATCATGTTGCATCTGTTGCTCGTTCATTCCGCTTTGCGCTGTATAACATACGAAAGATAAGACCATACTTAACACAACATGTCACCCAGCTCCTGGTGCAATCTACTGTCATCTCCTGCCTCGATTACTGCAATGCCCTTCTAACTGGTCTTCCAGCCTGTACTGTGAGACCTCTTCAAATGGTCCAGAACGCAGCGGCGCATCTGGTCTTCAATCGGCCAAAAAGGGCACACATCACCACTCTGTTCATTGAGCTCCACTGGCTACCGCTAGCTGCACACATCAAATTCAAATTGCTAACACTAGCATACAAAGTCTGAGATGGTACGGCTCCCATCTACCTGAATCCTCTTGCAAAGGCTTACGTCTCGGCCCGGCCGCTCCGGTCATCACAGGATCGTCGGCTAGCAGTGCCTACACCACGCTCAGGACAATCCAGACTCTTCTCATGCTTCGTTCCACAAATGTGGAATGACCTTCCAAGCACTACCAGAACAGCGGCTTCCTTTTCAATTTTCAAGAAACTCCTGAAGACCCTGCTCTTCAGAGAGCATCTTCTTAACTAGCACCTTCCCTGCACCCATCCCCCCTCTCTACCGTCCACTCCTTTGTTCCCTCCTCTCCATGACTGATGTCAAGTTGTTGTTATTTTTGTTGTTAGCCTCAAGGGCAACATGCCGATTATCACTTGTAAGTCGCTTTGGACAAAAGCGTCTGCTAAATACATAAACATAAACAATAAAAGGCCACCCTGAAATGTGCAGTTTGATCAAACAGCATAACGCCACAGATGTTGTAACCTTTGAGGGAGAGTGCAATCGGCATGCTGACTGCAGAAATGTCTACCAGAGATGTTGTCCATGAAATGAATGTTAATTACTCTACCATAAGCCGTCTCCAAAGGCGTTTCAGAGAATTTGGCAGGACATCCAGCTGGCCTCACAATCGTAGACCACGTGTGACCACACCAGCCCAGGACCTTCACATCCAGCATGTTCATCTCTACTATCGCCTGAGACCAGCCACCCAGACAGCTGTAGACACAATCGGTTTGAATAACCAGAGAATTTCTGCACAAACTGTCAGAAACCGTCTCAGGGAAGTTCATCTGCATGCTCGTCATCCTCATCAGGTTCTGGACCTGACTGCAGTCCATCGCCATACGGAAGTCCCTGAGGCCCATTGTTGTGCCATTCATCCACGACCATCACCTCATGTTGCAGCATGGTAACACACGGCCCCGTATTGCAAGGATCCGTACACAAATTCCTGGAAGCTGAAAACATCTCAGTTCTTACATGTCCAGCATACTTACCAGACATGTCACCCACTAAGCATGTTTGGAATGCTCTGGATCGGCGCATACGACAGCTTGTTCCAGTTCCAGCCAATATTCAACAACTTCTCACAGCGAAGAGGAGTGGACCAACATTCCACAGGCCACAATCAACAACCTGATTAACTCTATGTGACAGAGATGTGTTGCCCTGCATGAGGCAAATGGTGGCCACACCAGATACTGACTGGTTTTCTGTCCCACCACCCCCATAAAGCAAAACTGTGCACATGTAAGGGTGGCCTTTTATTGTGGGCAGTCTAAAGGTTGGTTTATGCTTGACGCGTCCGCGAGGTCCGCATGGCTCCGCGCGGAAAAGTTGCGTCATTTTAACAACCACGCCCCTCCACCGCGCCTCCGCACGGCCCAGAATTTCCGCAACGCGCACCTCGGAAAATTTCTAACCACGCAGACGGACGGACACGGAAAAACATGGCGGACCGGCAAGAACTAGTATGGCAGAGGTTCGTAAATACAGACATTTGTATGATTCAGCTCTCAGAGATCACCGTGATCAACATGTAGTTAATAATTCTTGGAGAGAAATAGCTCGCACTGTCAGAAAAAATGAGGACGCTGTTAAAAATGCTGAAATGCCATGTTGTAAACAGTAATTTCTACTTCTACTATGGTGTAGTGTTGGGTGCATGCCGTAGAGCTCCATGCTGCCCCGTTCAGTTTAGGAGAATAATGGCTCACCGCAGAGACGAGCCGCACGAACCATAAACGCTGCGAGTTGTGAAGCGCGTTCCATCCGCGAGCCGCATCATCGCGCGGAAAGTGAATGCGTCAAGCATAAACCAAGCTTAAGGCACACCTGTACAGTCATGCTGTCTAATCAGCCACTGATTTCCCTCTTTCCTATTCACTCTCTTTCTTAACATTTTTTCTTTTAAATCGCAATTGCTTATTCTTGCTCATTTTAAATATATCTTTAAGTGCTTTTTTATATTTTTTATATTTTTACAATTTTTTATATTTTTTGTTTTTGTTTTTGTGAAGCACCTCGTGATTTTATCTTGAGAGGCGCTATAGAAATGATATTTTCTTCTTCTTCTTCTTGATATGCAACACCTGTGAGGTGGGTTGTATTATCTTGGTAAAGGAAAAGTGCTCACTAACACACATGTTGAGAGTCATGGGTGTTTTGTGTATGTAGAAAAATGTTTAGATGTTTGAGTTCAGCTCATGAAAAATGGGATCAAAAACAAAAGTGTTGCGTTTATATTTTTGTTCAGTGTAGATTAACCCTCTGAGGCTCAAAATAAGTTATGATAAAAGGACGAACAACTCTTAAGTCCTTCAGGTGTACTTCTGAGTTAAAAAATCCTCATGAAATACGTATGTGGAGTAACCAGGTAGGTAGGTTTTAACGTTGCAAATCTACAACGCCTGCCTCCAGAGGGTTAAAGCCCAGATCATCAGATAATATTCTGATTTTTATATAGAACTACTTTGTTTTGTCTTGGAAGGATTCAGCAAAGCAGAAAAACTAAAAGTGCAGGATAGGTTCCAGACATCAGACAGATTTAGGATTTTTTCTCTAAGGCTGACAGAGTAGATGAATAGAAATGACACGTGTAACGCAACCACACACACACACACACACACACACACACACACACACACACACACACACACACACACACACACACACAAACACACACACACACACACACACACACACACACACACACACACACACACACACACACACACACACGTGCGCGCTTATTGAGTGCAACATCTCAAATTCACATTTAAATTTGTTGATTTTTATTCTGTTTTCTCTTAACAATCCTCCAAAGTTCATTATATTCATGTAATATGAGCCTTCCACCTTTCCCTCTAGCGAATCAGAACCTTTTGTCTCCATCTACAACTCCCTGCTAAACATACTCTCTTAGCTGCATGCATTCCAGGTCACTTCATTCCCATTTTCACCCTCCGTTATCTCCCCTATGTCTTTTACACCTGCCCTCCTTGGTTAATCGCTTCCCCTTGCCTCTCCCACTGTCCTCCCTGTGCAGCAGGCAGGTAGGCCAGCAGGAGAGCATATAATTTCTCAGAGGAGATGCTGTCAGTTGACGGCCTCTCAGGCTAAGAGGCGCTCACCGCTCCTGGGTTCACAGAATCACCGCTCTGTTCCGCTCCAGGATTATGCAGATCCTAATTCCCTTCCGTTCACACCTGAGGGTGGCAGGGCATGAAATAAGGAAAGTGTTCAGTGTGAATACAAGTCTTTGGTACCAAGTGAAGAAAAGAGAGAAGACAGGGACAAGGGGGACAGTAAGAGGAAGAAAAGAGTAATGGGAGCTGTCTGAGAGAGAAAGGTGGGTCTTAAAGAAAAAACTGGATATCGGGATGCTCTTTACTTTGACCAGACACAATAAAGCACACTAACTGATACATGATCAAATTTTTTAGCCCAAAACGTGAACAACTTCTCCCTATAAACAGGAAAAAATGTCACTAAAGAATGAATCCAAAGTTTTAGTACGAAAGCCTTCTGAGTTAGAAAATTAGTTCTGCAGAGAAAATGTTACACTAATTATTGTTCATTTACTAATGCTTTGCACTAATAAAAGTTAATTGTGCATATTTTTATATTTTTTGCAGTGTGCAGGGAGCAGGTTCCAGTGTGCAACCAGAAAAAAAAAACTAAAAAATGTGAAATCTAAAAATGATTTTATGTTTTCCATATTATCAGCAATTGTATTTTCTCAAAGTTTGCAAACTTCAGTATTGTACTTAATTCACAGAAAATAGGCATAGTTGCTACGTGTGTAAAGCTGGATTCAGCGTTCTGGTGAAGCTGTCCATGTGGGTCGATTTTTTTCATGGCTTTATTTTATATTCCTTAGTAATGGTGCTATGATTTATAGTGTTAGTTCTCCGTTAACAATAAAACGCTCAAATAGCGCAATAACTGCTCATTAAAGAAGCGTATCCGGGCGGAATTCAGTCGGATTTGACAGCTGCGTTTGACCCAAGTGGCGGAAAAGTTTATTTTAAACACATAATACTCACATGATTGAGAAAAGAAAGTTAGATCGTCTTACCTGATAAAGCCTCCTTGGAAAAAGCAAAAAGACAAGACATACAGAATCCGAACGACTTGTGGGAGCATCCTCAAAACCGCTCCCTACTGCTGAATAACTTCCAAAAAGAAAGAAAAAATTGAGAATCAGCAAATCCACAGATCAGCCAGTGAGATTCGTCTTGAGGTGGAAGGCATCGTCTCTGGGTGATCCTGACTGGTCTTCGGGGAAACTTCACCGCTTCCCACCAAGCCCTGGAGCTGCGCACATCCAAACGGCGGGCGCGCTGCTTGGCGGCTGAGCGGCTGTGGCTCTGTCAGGGAGTCGCTGCTGATGTTAAAGGAGAGTGACGGTTCGCCTGTGTGTGACCGTGTGTGTGACCGTGTGTGTGTGTGTGTGTATCTTGGTTATTTAGCTTCCACTCCCTGCATTTCCCTCCCTCGCTCCCAAAAATTTAAAAGTGCATGGTGACGATTTAAAGGAGCAGTAGGTTGTCTCCTCCTGGAGAGGAAGACGGTTCAGGCTGAGATCAAGAGTAGAAAATCATTGTTCTATTTCGTCTAGTCTTAGCCCTTAAGCGAGCTGCTATTGGAAGGGTGATCTCAGCATCAGCCAATCATGAAGAGCTTAAATGTACGCCCACCACGTGGGCACCCCTTGTGGGTTATATAAGTGGAGCGACTCCTCTGTTCGCCTCCGTTTTCTCTTCACGCCAAGCTTAAGAGCTTCTTTTAAGAGCAATTATACAAGAAAATCTACTCACCGACCATGTCCAGCGACGCCAGGACCTGCCCGGCCTGCCAGACGGGTTCCATCTCCAGCGGCGACCTGCACGCCAAGTGTGAGGTCTGTCTCGGGGCTCACCACGCTGGCCTGGCCTTGACCCCCAGGCCTCGTGCCCGTTTTGTACCGCTCTGCCCGTGGCTGAAAAGGTCCGCCGGGTCGAGTACTTCACCCCCTCCACCGACGAGGAAATTCCGGTGGCTGGCACGTACTCGCTGGACAAGGCGTTAGGGTTCTTCAACGTCGGCCAGGAGCCGGCTGGCTCCTACCGAATGGACGATGTCATCGACAGCGAGGAGTACGACGAAGCTGGCTTCCATAGCCCTTCCCTCCTGTACAACACGGAGGTCGACTACGAGGCTGGCTGCCATAGCCCTTTTTCCCTCCAGTACAACACGGAGGTCGACGAGCCTCGTGAGGAGCACGACGAGGCTGGCTGCCGCAGCCATTATTCCCTCCTGTACAACACGGAGGTCGACGAGCCTCGTGAGGAGCACGACGAGGCTGGCTGCCGCAGCCATTATTCCCTCCTGTACAACACGGAGGTCGACGAGCCTCGCTCAGCGGGTCCTTCTGCCCCAGTGGTTTCTCGCTCCTCCCTGCCAGCAGTTAGAGCACTGCTCCAGGAGCTGCCCGCCATCATCTCCGCGGCTGCGACCCGCAGGTGGCTAGCCGTTCCAGAACCGGCTCCCCTGAGGCGGATGAATTGGCGGGAATTTTTGGGGCAACACAGACGCGCTGTCCAGACCCCGTCTGGCCGCACTTCCCCGCTGCCATGAGCTGCTGGTCCGCCGCCTTCTCCGAGCCTGCCAGGCTCGAGGCGCCAATTTCCAGTGTGGCGTCAAGAACCACCTCACTGGACCGCGAGCAGTTCCCACTAAGCATGACCAGCTGCTGAGGCGGCTCGCCGATCGCGCACACCAGTGCGCCTTCCAGACCGGCGCTGCAGGAAATAACATCGCCTTCTCGCCTTTGGTGTTTCCAAAATGGTGGAGGAGCTTGACTCTCCTGTCGAGTCAGAAACCATCATTACTAAAACTGCTGATGCCATCCTCAATCTGTGCGCTGCTGTACTCACCGGTTCTGCTCGCATTGCTGCCTGGCAGACCCTTATCCAGCGGCCTTGTGGCTCATGGCCCTGCCCTCCATTCCTGAACACCTGCACAGAGAGATGCTGGAAGGCCACATCACCTCTGTCGTTCTGTTTGGTCCCCATCTTACGAGCGTCATCTAGAGGGCTCAGCAGCTGAACTTTCAGCCACGGTGCGAGACCTGGTCCACTCTCGGTCAGCCTGCACTCCGGCTGTTCCCCCAGAGGATGGGACGAACGGCGCGGAAACTCCATGCGCCCAGCTGCACGGCCCGCCCCGCGGAGCCGGCCTCCCGCTGAGGCGGGACCAGGGAGTTGGCGGCCAACGGTTCCGAACGAGCCAGCAGACACAGCCTTGGCAGTCACAGGAACCTCGCCGAAAACAACCACGAAAACGACTCGTTGGGGGGAATATGTGTGCTTATGGCTGCAATGTTAACTCTGTGAATTATTTTGGTTTTGAAATAAAAACCCAAAAAACGTCACATCGAGAGCACAATCCTACAGTCCTCTGCAGAACCTTCTGCCGAATCCTCACACATGATGTTCCCCGCACCAAGCACTGCAGCACATCTGCATGTTCAGACAGTCGGACTCGGTCATGTTACACGGGTAGCTGTAAGGGTGCGCTCCATTTGCGCACCGCCCCCAGCCTACGGCCAGGCCCGACTCATTCCGCTTCCCCCACAACTTTGGGTGGGACGGGATGTCATGGCGCTGTCGCGACCACGCGCAAAGCGCGCACATTGCGCGGCTCCATCCGCTGGCACTTTGACGTTCCCGTGCACGGGCCCGGCTCCCACTCGTCCTTCATGGACTCCACGCTCTGCGGTGCGGATCAGCCTCTTCCAGCTGTTTCACACTTGCTCTTTCGAGCACAGCCCTCCATGGGTCGCTCCCAGTTCTCTGGTACGAGCGACGGCGGTAAGGGCGCGAAACCAATCCTCAGACGTTGCTCACGTGACCTCGAGCACACGTCCGCTGTCGGAACGCGCGCACGAATGCCTCCCTTTCGGCTACTCGCTAGCCCAGCGCACTTTCTCCAAATGTCCGGAGACCGCGCTGCAGCCACTGCGCACGGCGGAAACGAGGGTTTTATTTTACCGGGACGATCTGCTCCGATGCGCCCGGTCCGAGGACGGGGCGTCAGTGCAAACCAGGAGGTTAACAGAGCATCTGTCAACCCTGGGGTTTTCTATAAACTGGGGGAAGAACTCTGTTCTTCCATCCCAGTCGATTATGTTTCTCGGGGGGGGAGCTGAACACCTCTCTAATGAGAGCACGTTCGTCGCCAGTGAGAGCGGCAGATCTCACCACGGTGATCTCCCGCGTGCAACCCCGCAAGATCGTGAGAGCCCTGTTAGTCATGAGACTTCTGGGCATGATGGCTGCAGCCCACTCGGTGGTGCTGCTGGGGTTGTTGCACTCGAGGCGCCTTGCAAAGTTGGTTCATCTGCCTCCGGGTACACCCGATACGTCAGAAGAGACATATGTTGAGGGTTCCCCCCTCACTGGGCGGGGACCTCGCTCACTGGGGGAATCCCTGCATCCCCTCACACGGGATTCCCATCGGACGTCCTGCGTCACACGTATCTGTGTTTACGGCTGCGTCACTGTCTGGGGTGGAGGGCACGTGCTTGTTACGCGGCAGATCGCTGGCCCTCCCACACGCACGAGCACATAAATGTGTTGGAGCTTATGATAATGAGGAATGTGTTCATGCACTTCGCTGCCCTTCTCGATGGCCGTCATGTCAAAGTTCACACAGACAACCAGGTGGCGGCAGCCTGCATAAATCGCCAAGGGGGAGTTCGATCCCCCCCTCTATTGTGCATAGCCACAGATTTACTGTGTTGGGCACATGTCCACCTGCTGTGCCACCTACATTCCGGGGATCCTGAATGTAGCGGCAGACATCCTGTTGAGAGGGGGTCCCCGCGACTCCGACTGGCGTCTGCATCCCGCGCTGATATCACAGATTTGGATAAGGTTCGGGGAACCGTGTGGATCTGTTCACGGCTCGCGAAAACGCTCAGTGTCGCCTGTGGTTTTCCCTGAGTCTCCGGGACCAAACCTCGCTCGGAGCGGACGCCTTCTCACACCAGCCCGGGCTTCGAACGCTCCTTTATGCGTTTCCACCAGTCCCTCTGATTCCCCTTCTCCTGGACCGAGTTCGGTCAGAACAGCTCTCGGTAATTCTGGTGGCTCCCAGACGCTTGTCCGCGTCATGGCTTCCGGACCAGCAAGCGCTACTGTCCGGCTCCCCGTGGAGACTCCCGCGAAGGGAGGACGCCCCTCCCCGGGCGGATGGGATAATCAGACATCCTCCGGAAATAAGCCATAGGCTGTGGGTCTGGCCGATGAGCGGTTTCGATTAGGGGTTTCTGGGCTGCCGCATGATGTGGTCATCACGATTCAGAGTGCGCGGGCGCCCTCTACCATTGCATCTTACGCTGCTAAATGGGCAGCTTTCCAGAACTGGGGCACAGAGCGGAATGTTCAAGCGCTCTCCTGCCAGCTGGCGGATGTCCTATCGTTTCTGCAGATACGGACGGACAGGGGCCTCGTATTCAGCACTATTAAAACATATGCTGCAGCTATCTCATCCTGTCACCAGGGTTTTGGTGATAGATCTGTTTTCAATCATCCCCTCACAAAACGTTTTCTAAAAGGTGTCAGAAGGAACGGACCTGTGTCCCGTCCGCTAATTCCCCAGTGGGATCTAACGGTGGTTCTGCGTGGCTTATCTGAAGCCCCATTTGAGCCCTTGGACCAGGTCTCACTCAAGTTCCTGTCACTTACAACTGCCTTGCTGCTAGCACTGGCATCAGTCACGAGAGTGAGCGACCAAACCGCCCTCTCAGTGGCTCCCGCATGCCTCAGGATCCGGAAAGATGGCGGGTCTGCTGTTTTATGCCCCAACCCAGCCTTTGTGCCCAAAAAACATTAATACTTCCTTCAAATCCAGGTCAATTTCATTGGCTGGACTTTTTCCTCCTCCCCATAATTCTGAGGAGAAGGCGGCTTCCCACCTTCTCTGCCCAGTGCGCGCGCTCGCACGATATGTGTCACGCACTTCAGGGATTCGCCGCTCACAAATCATGTTTGTGTACTACAGGGAGTCTTCCCTTGGGCAAGCGCTGTTGGCCCAGCGCCTTTGACTCTGGCTATGTGACGCCATTTCACTCGCTTACACATCATTGGGGCTGGATCCTCCTGAGACACTCAGGGCTCACTCAGCCAGAGGGATTTCCTCTTCTGTGGTGCCCCACAGTGGTGGGTCAATGGAAGTCATTTGTCAGGCTGCTTCATGGGCTTCACCCTGTTCCTTTACTCGTTCTTATTTACGAGATGTGTCTTCAGGATCCATCACTCGTTCAGTGCTTGGACCTCAGCAGGCTGAGTGAACGCATTATGGCACCTCATCGGCCCTGCTTGAATGAATTTCATCCTCTTGTGGATGATATTTTTTAGTGGTGGCCCCACTCTTCTCTCTGGCTGCCTCAGCCTTTTAAGCCCTGGGCTGAGGCTGAGCGACCCCCACTAAAAGGAGACATGTTGGGTGTGTCCATTGGTTGAGCTAACCAGTGTGGCGTAAACCCATCCAGCTGCGCTTTATTCCAATAGCAGCTCGCTTAAGGGCTAAGACTAGACGAAATAGAACGTTGGTTACGTATTGTAACCCCAGATTCTATGAGTCTAGTCGCAGCCCTTAAGCCACTTGGCCACACTGGTTCTGTTAGGACTAAGAGCCATCGGAGGCGAACAGTGGAGTCGCTCCACTTATATAACCCACAAGGGGTGCCCACGTGGTGGGCGTACATTTAAGCTCTTCATGATTGGCTGATGCTGAGATCACCCTTCCAATAGCAGCTCGCTTAAGGGCTGCGACTAGACTCATAGAATCAGGGGTTACAATACGTAACCAACGTTCTACATAAAAAATTAACACTCACATGTTTGAACATAATTAGCTTCACATAATAATGTTTAAATAACAAATTATTTATTTTTTAACAATATTTTGATGTTTTAAAAATATGCCAAACCATGATTTCCTAATTAAATGCATTATAAGAATAGCATTGCCTCTTTTGTGACTATGCATATGCCACATTTAGTCTTTAAGGTACTAATTAGGATTTGAACCTGTACAGTAAATTGTAGTTGACAGAAAACACCTTAAAAACACTGAAATGTGTGATAACAATCTCAAAAACAAAATGTATTTTTTTCTTTTAGTTTTCTTTTTAGTGCATTTAGGAACACATGGTAACATTTTTATAATTTTTTTTTATTTTTCCTCTTAAAAATTTTTCCCTGAATAATTCAGAGTCTTTGAAAAAGGTTTATGGTAAATGGTTATACACAATCATCATCAGTCATTTTAGCAACCAACACATTCTCACACCCTAAGTGGCAAAAAATGACTCGGTGTGACCAAGCATTTGTTTCTGACATGTCGGTATGCGACGCCCGCGGTAAAATGGACATTAGATCGAATTGTGACCTTTACCCTCTTGCCATTTAACCTTCCCCTCACCCCCAACCTAACCTTAACCAGCTTGCGCATGCAAAGCGTTGTTTTGCGTTTCATCGTTCTTCTCAAACACGCTTAACGGAAAATTTAGATTGACAAACTGGGTTAAGGTTAGGATGGGGGTGAGGGAAAGGTTAATAGAGGTTAGAGGTTAAATGTCAGTGAAATCGCTGTTTTACCATGGGCATCAGATTCCGAAGCTCTGGCACTGCGCGTCAGGAGGCGACGGGCAGGGACGTCCAATGTGTCGCAAACAAACGCTTGAATCAAATGTGAATCAATCAATCAAAGCTTTATTTATAAAGCGCCTTCCGCAACCCTGTCAGTAAGCCCAAGGCGCTGAACATGGTACAGTAGAAGTACAAATATAGTGAATAAATCAAAAATAAAAGCAATTCAAATTACAAAATACAAATTACAAAAAAAGGTGAAACATTCTAGTACAGGACAGATGGGTAAAACAAGGGATAGAGTGAACCAATGAAAACTGTGAAAGAAATTCAACGTAAAAGAGGGCCGAATCAAACATGTTCAGGAAACGCCAAGCGGAGAAGGTATGCTTTTAGGCGACTCTTAAAGGCTGGCAGAGATGGGGAAAGCCTAACTGAGGGTGGCAACTGGTTCCAGAGTAACGGTGCTAGGACTGAGAAAGCCCGGTCCCTGCGAGTACGACACCTAGAACGAGGACAGCGAGCAGGCCTTGGTCAGAGGAGCGCAGAGCACGTGATGGGGAATGTTTGTTCAGGAGAGTGGCCTGATAGGGGGGAGCACCACCCTGGAAGAAATTGTAAACAAAGACGAGGATTTTGAAGTGTGCACAATAGCAAACCGGCAGCCAGTGCAGGGAGGCCAGAACCGGACTGATGTGGTCCCGTTTCCTGGTCCCAGTCACACCAAGTCATTTTTAGACACTTAGGGTGTGAGAATTTGTTGACTGTAGACAACTCAGTTTAGAAAAGAAAGTTTTAATTGAAAAGATGAGTTTACAGCTGGTCTAAAGTAATGGCTAGTCTGAGCTAATGTCTAATCTGAGATAATGTCTAATCTGACATACTGGCTAATCTGAGCTAATGGCTAATCTAAGTTAATGGCTTATCTGAGATAATGGCTAGTCTAAGATACTGGCGAATCTGAGATAATGGCTTGTTTGATATACTGGCTAGTCTGAGATAATTGCTACTCTGAGACACTGGCTGGGATATGAGCTAATCTGAGATTATGACTAGTCTTTTTTTATGACTAGTCTAAAATACTGGCTAGTCTGATATACTGGCTAGTCTGGGATAATGGATAATTTGAGATGATAGCTATTGTCATTGTCATGAGCCGGGGTGAGTACTCTTCACACTATTCACCATCTCTGAGTTTCTGATTGCAGGAGAGGGAGCAACAGCTGATCTTCATCAGCGGGCCGGCTTTATAAGGAGGAGGATGATCATGCTTTGACGCCGGATGATTGTTACTAACTGGTAGTCTCTAGCCTTTCGAGTTTTCTCTTGTCTTTTCGATTCGTTTTTGTGCTTGGCTTTTTGAAGTTACGCTTAATGTGGATGTTTTTGGATCCTTACCTCAGGTCGCTGCATCTCTGGATTCTCTGCCGATCTCTGGAAGAAGTTTTCTCCGGTTTGTTCCTGCCTCACCTCTCACTCAGCCGGCCCGCTCTCCACCACGCTCACGCTCCCTCTCCGAATCAGCCTCCTCAACTCAATCCGTCAACACTCATCCTCCTGGACTACAAATCTCACTCTGGATATCACCCCGGCTCACTCCCCCTCCATTCTTCTGCCTTTCTTCCACATAGTAAGTCCCGACTCCAAACAATTCCCTCTAAACTACAACTCCCATGCTCACCTCTATTTTCCCTTTAGACGCCGCTTCCTGTTTCTCATCCGCTGGACCCCAGTGCGCCCTAAGTTCTCCTGATCAAAAATAAAATATTTTATTTTTTGCCTTTATACTCACCTCAGTCTCTGATTCTGCATGTCTTGGGTTAGGCATCTACCTCAGAACATGACAGTCATGTGAATAGATATACAGTGTGCATGCCTTTAAGACTTGCCTGGAGTGAGGAGTTTAGGAGGGAGTTCGGCGTGCTGGAAAATAAAGAAAACACCTCTCAAGCTGAAGGGCATTGAGTCATTTATTATGTTGGTTGTAACTAGAACATGGTGTCAGAAGTTAAGTGGTGAATATGGCCAAGTTTAACCCTCCCGACAACTTTGACTTCACCCGCCCGGAGCAGTGGCCGGAGTGGAGGCAGTGGTTCCAGCGTTACCAGTAAGCAACTAAGCTAAACCTTGAGGATGGAGCTGTGCAGGTTAGCACACTACTCTACGCGCTTGGCAAGGAAGTGGAACAAGTGTTTAACACTCTGCGGTTCGATGAGGAAGAGGATGAGGAGGACTACAACATGGTATTGGAAAAGCTAAATAATTACTTCATTCCAAAAGTGAATGTCATCCACGAACGAGCTCGGTTTTACCTCCGCTCGCTAAAGAAGGACGAGTCCGAAGAGGAATATGTAGTGGAAATCCACATTTTATATTCTCAGATTAACTTTTGTTGGATTCACATGAAGAAGAACATAACTATTTTCACAGTTTTTTTCCCCTCTAACACTTAGCAGAAAAAAAGGGAAACTTGAAACTGGCCTGCAACTTCAGCATCCTGGTTAACTCCTATGATTCTCTCCCAGGGTCATAAATTGCAAAAATTTGACTGGTCTCCCTTCTGGGCCAATCGGAGATGCAGGACTGATATCAGAAACTGGCCTGTTTTACATTATCTCCAAGACTGACCCTTTTCTCAAGATGGGGGAAGTCGTAAAACTTCTCTTAGGTCCTCCTGGGAGCTTCAAGACTTGAGTCTTTATAAACCTTGTATTTCTGTTTATCTACAGTCAAAGAAGGTGTTTAGGTTGTTTACCCTTAAAATAAAATATGAGGTGTTCAAAGTAAATGTTTAAAATATTATCAGTTACAAACCTAACTGCTTGTTTTCTGTTTTTCTTTTATGATATACCCCTGCCAATTTTTGTTTCTCCCATCAAAATTCATGCTAATGGTAAAACTGTCCAGTTTCAAGGCATAAATTTAGTTCTTTCCTGTTTAAAGTAATAGTTTGATGCCTCAGCTGGAATAAATTTGGTAATTTGGGATATGAACTTTTCATTGTTGAAAGGTAGTTCATTGGAAAGAGCCATAGGGCCATCCAGTGGTTAATGAGTGAAATACATGTGGGTGTGGCCAAGAAAGTTTGTAAAACCAGAGTTCAGACCTCGTGGTTGCAGAACAAAGAACAAAAGGCGCCTTAAGCGAACCTCTGTTTTGGCTTTTCCATCTTGGCCTAGCAGAAACCGGCGCTCTAAAATTGTGAGGTCGTTAGCTCTCAAAAGTTTCGGTAAAATTCAGAGGCAACTCCATTTGTTTTGTTTTGACCTTCTACATGAAACCGGAAGTCTGCGCGGTCCAGTCGAGTTCTCGCATTAAGAGTTAAAACCAATTTGGAACAGTTTTTCTGATTCAACTTCGTTTGAATAATTCGGACCCGCGATCTGAATTCCACGTTTGATGCAGCTGGAGGAACCGAAAGTCAAGCCACGATAGAGGAATACCACATCCTCCTACGACCAACGTTGACCGACCCGGGAGCCAGAATAAGTCAGTCCTCAAGCCGTGGCTCAGCCAGGACGAAAGGCCATCAGCCGCTGCCGACCCTTTCGGCAAAGGACAACAGGTCTGTGAATCATTTTCATCCAGCTGATTTTTCTGCTAAACCATGAATCGTGAATTCAGACTATCCCATTTCTTTTATGGCGTACATTATTTCGACCCAAATTCACGTTTAGCTCCCAAGATTCATCCCTCTGTGACTGCCGTAACGAGTCCTCTGCATCCATGCACACACACATACGCACACACGCACGCACGCACGCACGCACACACGCACACACACACACACACACACACTCCTGCATTCCTCCACCCATATGAACACAAAAAATATACTCACTTTGTACCCATTTTAGAAATTACTCCCCATTTTACTGTAATCTTGTGTTTCACCAAGTTTCCACCTTTATTACAGATCAGTTATTTCATATCACTGCCATAAAGCTTTGGGTTAACAATTGTCTTAACTCCATGCATGAAACGATGAGCTGTGTTTGCTCCCTTTTATCAATGTCTTAACTGATGTTTGTAATAAATTCACAAAACGTAAATCATGCCTGATCATTTTCTAGCGATCTCGAGAATAGTCGGCACATTCTGGCAAGAATTCAGCTTCCAGACTAATTTGTGGTGTTAAACTTTAGACTGATTACCTTGAACAAATCTGAATATCCCTTCAAGTGTCTGCAGTTCCCACTAGCAAAGACTGGGTGGTGCCCCGATGAATTAATATAAAATTATAAATGATGAAAACAAGCTAAGTCTACACCACATTTGATAAATACAGATATGAATCTATATTTATCGCTACAAAAACATATGTACACTCTATGAACTGGCCGAGACCTGTCAGTTTGGTCCGGCGAAGATTGAAAACATTTGCGACAAGTTAGTGGTTGGGATCCTGGATAGACATGTCAGAGAAACTACAGTTAAAAGCCGACCTCACACTGGAGAAAGCCGTGGAGATGGTGAGACAGTCTGAGCAGATTAAGGGGCAAGTTTGCCAGCAAGCTAAGGCTGACACGGGAGATGCAACATTTCTGAGTGAGGTCACATATTCTTGTACCTGTGACTGCAGGGATGCAGCAGCTTTAAGCAAGGTTAGACACAATGTGCGCACTGCGCCTTCCCAACAACACAGAGGAAGAGAGAAGGCCCAGGGCGGGGGCGGGCCCCAGGCACCAGGGCAACGCGATGGCAGCGCTGCAAAATCTAAATGCTTCAGGTGCGGACGGGACCACAGGAGCAATACGCTGTGTGTAGCCAGGAAGCAAATTGCAGAAACGGCCATAAAATTGGACACTTTGCCGCCGTGTGCCGCAAGAGTAAATAAATAAAATAACAACAAGAGAGAGGCCGGATGAAAATTACAACGAGGGGAGATAAAAACAACACATCTTTATGTAACTGATTCTAATAAGCCATGGACTGTCCAACTAAACATCTGCGGTACCTCTGTCAGCTTCAAAATTGATACTGGTGCAAATGCCAGTGTAATTTCAGATGACAACTATCATCGCCTCAGCAGCTCGCCCCACCTGTCAAGCACCCACACAGTTTTCAACAGCCCTGGTCGAAGGCTCTACTGTCTAGGACTGTTCACTGCCACTACAAAATACAAAGAGCAGAGTTACAGGTTCAACATCCACGTTATGAAAAAAACTAACGGCAGCAACTTATTAGGCCATGATGTTGCTGTGGTGACGGGACTGGTGAGGAAAATGGAAGAGGTGAGAAGCACGTTCGGGACTGATCTAAGCCTCCTAAAAATAAAACCTGTGAAAATACATCTGCGGGACGACGCTGTCCCATACAGCATCAGCACAGCAAGGAGAGTGTCTGCCCCACTTCTCTCTAAAGTCAAGATCGAGCTTTACAGGATGCTGAAATACAATGTCATAGAAGACATAACAGAGCCAACAGAGTGGTGTGCTCCCATAGTTCCAGTCCCTACGAAAAACGGTGAGGTAAATATTTGTGTTGATCTGAAGAGACTGAACATGGCGGTGAAGAGGGAACGATTTGTCCTACCCACCATAGGTGATATATTGCAGAGGCTAGCAGAGTCTTGAGTATTCTCCCTACTGGATGCAGCATGCGGCTTCAGGCAAATCCCACTTGAGAGAGGGACAGCTAAACTAACCACATTCACTACCCCAGTGGGTAGGTTCTTTTTCAAGGGACTGCTCTTTGGAATCTCCAGTGCGCCAGAAATTTTCCAGAGGGAAATGTCTGTGCTGTTCAGAGGCCAGGAGGGAGTGGAAGTGTACATGGACGACATCCTCGTCCATGGCACAGATGATAAAGAATACGAAGAGAGACTCCAAAATGCTCTGTGCATCCTGGAAAGTGCAGGCCTAAAACTTAATAAAGAGAAATGTTTCCTGAGACAAAGGCAGCTGAGCTATTTGGGGCATCGAATCGGTGGTGATGGCATTCAGCCTGATCCCTCTAAAGTCAGCACCATCACAGAGCTACAGCCTCCAATTGATGTGCCTGGCTTGAGGAGGTTCCTTGGCATGGTCCATTACCTTGAATGCTTCCTGCCCAACTTCTCTGAAGTGATAAAGCCATTCAATGACCTGCTGAGGAGTGAAGCATTGTGGACCTGGGACACAGCACAAGATAACGCATTCAACAAGGTAAAACAACTAATTTCCACTGCGCCTTCACTAACGTTCTATGATGTAACCAAACCAACCGTGGTGAGTGATGAAGTGAGTGAGTGAGGATGATGAAGTACCCCATCGCAGAGTATGTGCCGGGGAAAACACTGACAGTAGCCGACATGCTTTCCAGACAGCCATTACCTGTATAACAAGTGAAGTGTCCAAGCTAACGTATGATGTTTCAGTGTTTGAAGATGCAGCTCACGTGGCATGGCCATGTCACCTTCCAAACTGGAACGGATCAAGCAGGAGACGAGTGTGGATTACGGCCTGCAGGTGGTGAACAGACTGATCTTGGAGGGATGGCCAAAGTATGTAGGGAGCGTACCCGCACAAGCTAAAGCCTATCACCACTGCAGTAACAGCCTGTGGACATCAAAGGGTCTTGTGCTGTATGGAGACCGCATTGGTTCACTGGAGTTTTTGACAATTAAAATTGTGCCCACATTTTCAAAGTTAAACACATCTCTTTTAACAACGGTAGTTTCTGCTTCAGCCCCTCTCCCTCCTCCCCCGTGCAGTGGCCGCAAACTCACTGATGCGCCTGCAGCCTCTCAGAGTTACTGCTGCTCTAAACATTAAATTAGTTTTTGAGGTGGTGACACCTAATTTGATAATGTTACTGTGGCCGTGCTCAGGACGCAGATGTCTGGAGCGCGTCAACAATCAGAGCTTTGCAAGCGCAAGCTGGTTAAGGTTAGGATGGGGGTGAGGGGAAGGTTAAATTGCAAGAGGGTAAAGGTCACAATTTGGTCAAATGTCCATTTTACCGCGGGAGTCAGTACCAGCGCTCTGGCACAGCGCGTCGCCTCCCGACGCGCAGGGGCTCACCACCTGCTGTCTTTTCCGAGGACTGCATCTTGTCGATCATTATCATGTGACAGCGACTAGTCGATGACAGGCATAAAAAGTCACTACAGAGCAGTGAAGTCGACTAGTCGACTAGTTCATACAACCCCTACTTCATGGTGTGGCAGATCAGCCACCACCACCATCGTCAACACCCCAACCTACACCTTTAGGCTCCCCTGTCAGAGGGGCTGTTTCACCTACTGATGAGTCTGCTTCTCCTGCCCACGGGACTGTCCCAGCAGAACCTTCTGATTGTCTTCTGGGATCAGTTCGAATGTCTTCTACAGGCAGAGTCATCTGGCCCCCCAGGAGGCACAAGGACTTTGTTATTGAACTGTATAGCTGGCCTAAATTGAGCAGAACAACCTACGGCCGCTATAAGGGTGTTTGGGTAGTGCACCCCATCATCCCAACAACACGTGTGCATGGCTGGGTTGTGTCCTGTTGCCTCCATCCTTTTGAAAAAAAAAAAAAAAGGATGGTGATCGTCTGCAGTTATTGTGATTGACTCTTTGGTTAAAAGCATCTATGTTATGTTTCTACTATCGGTTGCAGTTACAGAGGGTTCCACTGATTTGAAAAAAATAAAAATTAAAAAAAGAAGATGCTGTCACGATCTGCCCCTGCCCGCCTGACTGTGTTCCTCTCCTGCCATGATTACCCTTATTGTTCTCACCTGTCCCTCATTTACCTGCCCATGTTTCCCTAATTAGCCCTCTGTATCTGTTTTGCCCCTGTCCTTTGTCAGTTCATTGTTGTTGTTTGTTGGTGTTCCTGTTCATCCCATCCTGCCATTAAACCATTTTTACTTTTACTGAAGCCTGCATTTTTACCTCCTGCTCAGCTCATCCACACATGGTCCGCCGTCTCCACCTCCTACACCGTGACAGATGCACTTTGTTCTTCCACATACTCTGTTTATGCTGCCTCTGATTCAAAGGAGGGGAGATGTCTTGTGAATAGATATACAGTGTGTATGCCTTTAAGACTTGCCTGGAGGGAGGAGTTTAGGAGGGAGTTCGGCGGGCTGGAAAATAAAGACAACACGTCTCAAGCTGAAGGGCATTGAGTCATTTATTACGTTGGTCGTACCTAGAACAGCTATTCTGAGCCAATGGTTTATCTGAGTTAATGGTTAGACTGAGCTAATGGCTAGTCCAAGGTAATGACCAGGAAAACCATCAATTCCAAAGTGGATGACTGCTGCCTTAAAACAACTTTATAACTAAAAAAACAAACATGCAAATACTACTTTGTCACAAATTATACTACTCCGAATCATTCCATACTTTGGGCAGAAATATTCTGAATTTGCAGTCATAGGTGTGAATCTGAACCAGAAGTGTTTCCAGTAACGTCAGATGAAAAAAATAACATACAACTCTGTGTAAATCAGCATGTAATACAATAGTTACAGCAACACCAAGGTTATTAGAATAGCATTTTATGAATCATGGTACATTTGAGGAAATCCTTTGTGTTCATCCACCCAAGGACTGTTTTCACTGTGCCTAGCCATTAGCTTCTCAATCGGGTCAGAACTTATTTTTTTCCAAATCAAATGACGAAACAAAGGCGCTGTATATTTAGAGGTAACTGAGGTGTAGAGAATAGTGAAGAGGAAGCAAGTTCCACAACGGGTATCCTTCTGAGCAATATTAATCAATATACTGCTGAATTTCCATGCATATGTAGTACAGGTAAAGTACTGACAG